GACCTTGAATCTCTGCAACATCCTTTTCAAAAAATGCAGTTTCTCTCTAGTCATGATCAACTAGCTGCAGAAATAACTCTCTGGCTTTTAACTTAAGCCAGACCATTTCTGCCTCTTAGTCATAGAGTCATAGAATATCCTGAGTTGGAGGAGGCTCACAAAGATCATCAAATCCAACTCCTAAACATCTCTCCTCTGGTTTCTTTTCTGCCTCCTATCAAGCAGAAGCTTCATGTCTTTACCTGCATGACCTGTAATGACCTATTCCCACCCTTCTTCCTCTAGTATTCTCTAGTGACATATCAACTCATCCTTCCCATCTGAAGGCATCTATGTTCAACCTTCAAGCACTTACATCGTCTTTTGTGTTGTCTTTGTCCTTTCTTCAGAAGTGTTCCATTAAACTTCCTTTAAATTCCCTCTGGGTCTTCTTTCAAATTCTAACTTAACCTTTTCCTTTGCTGTGCTGTCTACAGTCTCCTTGTCAACAGCAAAGCATTTAGAGTGTTGAGACCACAGCTTCCCTTGCTGACTGGTTTTGTCTGATTGTTTCCTTTTATTTCCTATCACTACCTGGTTGTTATTGCTTGTATTAGGCTATAAACTCCTGCGGTTGGGCCCTTCTTTGAATTCTGTGTTTTTCTGATACCCAGCAGAATAGGTCTGTTCTATGATCTGTGGTGGTATAGGCAAAAAAGCATGTAATGACAGCAATGAGATAACAAGAAGTTAGAACGTGGCATCATGTGCAATATGAGCTCCTCTTCTCCCTTCCCCGTCTTCCTTCAGATTCACAATATTTCAGATTTTTTACACAACAGAAGACAGTGAGTGAGGAGGTTTCAGAACAGAATAGTATAGTAGTTGATGTATCTTTTCAGCTTGTGAAGTGTTTCTGTGTGATCCACTCACTAATGATGGCATTTTCAGCAGGAAAGCCTCTGTGGGCACTTCTGTAAATCCCCCCAAGATAAGACTACCATGTGGCAGCCAGGCTGGGCTGAAGGAAGGTCACAGCATGGCCAAGGTTATGAACCTCTTTCATGCAAAAATAGAAGACTCTGGTCTCCCAGGCTTGCTGCCAACATATCGCCTTCTAGTTTTGCTGAAATGATCTTGAAAAAGCATCTAAAAAGGGCTGAAGGGGCAAAAGAAGAATGTTGAAATGACATAGTTTCTCATCTTCATGCATTTTAGTGCTAATTTTGTTCTTTGTCTTTAAGCTGCCTTTTAAATGCTGTTTGTGGAAAGCAAATGGGTCACGTTGTGCTGTGTTTCTACTGTAATACGCTGCCTGCTATTTTTCTCTTAGATTATTTGTGTAATCTTTTTTGTGCAATCTGTTTGTTCTTGAGTCTTGCAAACTTTGCCTTTGCTACTTCTTTCCCAATAAGCAGTGCAACTTGTTCTGTGTTCACTCATGGGTATTCTGCACACAAGAGACTGGGTTATTTGAGCCAGTGTGAAAATATTAAAATGGGGAACATGTGTGGGCACTTAATTGTGGTGAGCCCAACCACAAATACCTTCACCGTTGGTAACTGGCACACAGGAAAAGCAGACCTTTGTTTTGTTTTTATCAGACATAATGATAGATACATTGTTTTTAGTGGGGTTTTTCTGGTTTTCTAAGGAAATGAGGATTGTGCAATCTCACTGCTTGTGTGCATGTGCCTTTCTGCTTGTTCCTCCCTCACCAACGCTTGAAACTAATAGGCATTTTAAACTACATTTGAGCGAGTTGCAGGAGTTGGGAGAAGAGACAGGTTTTTGCAGAAGTCTGGTGAGTTCCCAGGTTGCACCAAGGTCTGCAGAAGGTGCAGTCTCCAGTGATCATGTCCCTGCAAACCAGATCGGTTGTGTACTTGCCCAGGTGCCTTTAAGTGGATCCAGCTACCCAACTGTAAGCTCCCAGATCTGAATATTTTGGCTTATTTGCTTTTACCTTTTGAGTGAGTGAGTCAGCTGGGAGAGTTGCTAGGCACAGAGCTTGTGTTTTGATTCTCACTGCAGTGGCCGTGTCTCATGAAAACATGATTTACTCAAGGCCACAGTGTTATAATTTGCATATAAACTTATAACAAATGAATCATTCTTTAAGCTTTCCTGTGTGAGGGTTTATAGGAGTATTTCTGTCTGTGTACTTAACAGCAGAAACTGGACTTCTCATAAATGTAGACAGGTTAAGTCTGTTGCTGCCTCAGTGGGAATCATCTGTGGAAAAACCCAACAAGAGAAAGGAAAGCCTCAGGAAACAAACTTAAAGGGGAGAAGTTGGCCAAGACTTGTGTTGTGCTACTCTTTGGTTTGTATCTCACCACCAGCAGTGTAGTTGGGGAATACCTCAGAGCTGTGGGGGAATGTAGGCACAGGGCACCTCTAGGAAGCAGAGAAGATGTCTTTATGCCCTTTGCTCAAAAAGGGAACAGAGGTACAAAGGCACTGGGTGGCTTTGTCAAGATTACAGGACTATGTATTTGAGTCAGGAAACAGACCCAGGTCTCCTGGCACAAGTACAGCCAGAAGCATGGTCTCCATGTAGACAGCTTTTTCAACAAATGTAGAGATACCTTGGTCAAAGAGGAAGATAAATGCTGAAGCACACAAGAGCTGGGTAAATTATGAATGTGAGAAGAGAAGGAGGGGTAGAAAAGATTCCCACATGTTCTGCTCAGATGTTAACAAAGAAAGCTGAGAAGTGTTTGCATAGACACTACATTATTCCATGTCCAAATGCCTCATAAAAATAATACCGGATGATCACAGAATGGCACACTAGGGAAAATAAATTCTTCAGCGGAATATTCCCTCTGGAAAAACACTGTGTAAAGTAATACACTAATGGCTTTCAATTTCATGTTTTATATATAGAGATATTAACTGCTCCCCAGACGTCTCTTCGTATTACAGCCCAGCTACACGAGATGTTTGGAGAAGGCCCTGGAGCAGCTCAGTGCTGTCCACACGCAGGGCTGAGCAGGACTCTCCTGTGGTACACAGGAGGTCTCTTTTGCCTCTTCTCAATGCAGTACTCACTCCTGTGGTTCTCTCCAGTGGCTTTGGGTTTTTTTCTTCCTAGCCCTCATGGTTTTTTCCATTCTTCCCCTATGCTCTGTAGCCTCACCACCATGCTGGGAAACCTGAATTCCTTTTCTGCTCATAAAAAAAGAGTCTTCTCTAGAAGTGGTGTTACCGTGGAGTGATTAAAGCACAACAGTGACAATCTTAATAACAAATGCTAAGGAAAGTTAAGTTTCAGAACTGCATTATGAATTCCATTTTGGGGATTTCCAGACTTGTCTGGATTCATCTGGTGAGTTCTCCCTCCACATTGCTCAAGCTGGGAGCTGTTTGAGTCAGGAACTGTCTGTCCTGTTTAAAGCCAACTACAGTTATGCCATTGTAGCAAATTGTAATGATCTGAGTTCTTTTCCAAGCTTTCCTAATATATCTCAAATGTGTATATATATATCATCTTGCCATATCTTGAGGGATCCAAAAGTAGCTTGCATGCTTTGTTCCCTGAATGTAGCTTGTTGGAGCATGGGACAGGCAGAAAAGAAGTCATGAGTATGGGGACATTGACAATGCACAGTGAAGGGCAGCAGTCCTGCTCTTGAAATGACAGGTCTAGGTCCTAGTAGAAAGTTGTGCAGTTTTTGCATGAAAAGACCAATAAACAGGTAAGAGAGAGCATTGTATCATTACTGGATTATGTAATTATTATCAGGTACATATTATTTCTATATGCTTTTATGAATAATTGTAAATTGAACTCAGTCTGCTTTCCTGCTTGTACCTCGGTTCTTGCTTCCCTTCCCACCCTCACTGACCACACCACTCCACCCATGAAGCCTTCAAGAAGTGCAGGGCCCCAAGGCTGGGGTCACCACAGTTATTCTTCAGCTGGAGAGATAATTTTGAGTGGGACAGTGCCCCAGATCGTAGTTGCTCTATTGCCTTTATTGGGGTTCTCTTGTGTAGTGTGGCTGACCTTGTCCTTAATGCCTTCCATTTTCAATGTCATTTGTTGTGTAAGGACATCAGAACTTCATGGGCTATCTCCATTTTCTAGAACTCAAATGGCAGAGAAAAATGGTAAAGGTGTGCCTTCTACCCACCTCTTCCATCATCTCTGCACCACAGTGTTCCCTAGAGAAATGTTTTTCCCATGAATTAAGGAAATCTTGTCTTCACTTTAAATCAGTCAGCCACATAACATCTTTAACAACAATCTGAGCAAGGCAGAAAGCCTTTTGTATGTGTGTATCTGCAGGCTTTTTGTTATGCATTTGTATCTGACATTAAGGGCCTTTTTCAGAAACAGACAGAGCTCTTAAGGCTTGTCTCTACTTAGAGTCTTTACCAGCAGTTTCTGATACACCTTTCTTGAAGGATGGTAAGAATAAAGTATCTACACATCAGCTTCTTTAGGAATAGTTTCTGCGCTTTAAATAGACAGAATATCTTAATCTGTATTAATCTTTGAACAGAAAAAAAAAAGTAATTGGCTCCATTGAGAGAACTGGTTTAAGCCGTACAAGAAAAAACTTCTCTTTAAATTGTCCTCCCACCAGATAGCTTTATGAGGCCTCCTACAACAAAATCCTTTCATGTGGAATCCAGGCTTAAGGCACAGGTTTATCCCATCTAACTGAGGAGCTGAGGATGACTACATAGCTGGGTTAAATGATAGATGTGTGATTTGTATCTGGAGCTCAAGATCCTTACAATGATTGCTGGCTTGCAGCAGCACAACTGTCATGAGTGCTGTCGTGGGAGCCAGTTTCAATCCTTTCTAGATCTTTTCATATGGACCAGTACCAGAGTGCCTTCCAGTGGCACTGGATCTTTGCCAGCAGTGGCACAAATTGTTTTTCTATGGCCTGAGCTGCTGTGTCCCCCTCACCCGCTCTGCAGCCACGAGTGAGTGGAGGGGTCTGCTCTGCAGATGGGACAAGGGGCTTTCTCTGACTGCTGTCCTTTCCCTCTGGTGACAGGACGCTGTGCCCGCTGCGGGGAGAATGTTGTTGGAGAAGGCACCGGTTGCACAGCCATGGACCAAGTCTTCCACGTGGAGTGTTTCACCTGCATAATGTGCAACAACAAGCTGAGGGGACAGCCTTTCTATGCCGTGGAGAAGAAAGCCTACTGTGAACCCTGCTACATTGTGAGTACCCATTCCTCTTTGTGCCCTGATTTTGATGCAAAGACACGGGAAACATTTATTTCTTTCATTGCTGTGGAGTTGCCTTACAGTGAAAATCTTACAACCCTGTGGTAGTACCATGAGCAACAAGTTTTTTTTTATAGTCGTCAGAAGAACTCTGGTCTTTTCAGCTTACTGGGTGAATTACATTTCCTGGCCTAACCTGCCTCTGAAATGAAGTGGACGCAGCAGGAGAAAGAGCTGGGTTTTGTGATTGTTTCATCTCTGTAAGGAGTAGACTATGCAGTCATTTTTTAGCAGTAGTGTGGTTCTCCGTTTTCTGTGTTGAGAAACCTGATACCAAAATGGTTACAGACTGTGCTGCCCACTAAGGTTAAGGATGTGGGATGCAAGAAAGCACTAAAACTAAAATCAAGACTTTTGCCTTTCTTGATGGAAGACTTTCTACTGAACTAAGGGTGTTTGGATTAGATATCTTTTGAAGCTTGCATTACCCTACAATTTCATTTCATGCCTTCAACAAGGTCTTCAAGCAATTAACAGTTTTTCTGAGGAGCTGCACATTTTAAGAGGTTCCCATAACAAGTAACTGGAACCAGTTGCACAGGTGCAAATTAAAGAAACATCTCATAATGTGCCTGAGGCTTTACCTTGGTCTGACCTTAGCATCCAGTATATAAGGATTATCCTTGTAACTTAGAGTAAGAAAAGCACTGGAGCATTCTTAAAACACTGGCAGATCTTCCCAGTTTGGAGTTCTTACAAACACTGGACCTGAGACCCTTCTAGAATTTGATTCACACTTCTAAAAGTAAAAATTGGTGTTTTTCATTACATTTCTGTCATTTCAGTGATAATTACAGTGATAATACTATAATATTTCTGAAAATGCCACCAGTATCTCATTGTTCTCTCTATTTCTACAGAGCCTTCACAGTGAGATTGTTACTGAAATATTGAATATAAAAAGGGAGGATTGTGTCTTATTTACAATGGCAGTGATAGATGGGCCTTGTTAATTTGCTTTTAAAAAGTAAATGGTTTTTGGTGGAATATGTACCTTTTAAATAATTTCTATTTTTTTTTGTACTAGAACGATTGCGCCATAAAAAATTTAAGTTTCATTTTGTGGCAAGTTTAACCACGTGCAAAGCACTGAAGACTTTAGGAAGGTGCATTCATAATATAATTGGAGCAACTTTATGTAACTGGAATTAAACATTTCATTGACTTCAGGCTGGAATTGACTTCATCTGCTTGCAGATTGATACTTTCTTTTCTTCTTTTTTAAATCAAGCACGCATTCTACACCACTCATCTGCTTTAGTTTGGGAAAACATCTGCATTAGCCACTGTAGTAATGGTTTAAGATTATTTAATCCCATTACTTATACACTTCATTAGCCTGAGTGAATTGTTGGCAATGGTTCAGTAAACTTCCTACATTGGGAGATAAAAGGATAAAAAAAGAAAGGGAGAAGGATTCTGTTCCTCATTTTCTTTCAAATTTATCTTCTATCTATTTAAGGGATAAAGGAACGATAATTGCTTGGTTGCATCTGCGTTTGTATGTTCTGTGATACAGCTTTGCAGCTCTGAGTACAGAGGAAAGAGTAAACGTTTAATAGCTTCCTTTTATATAACCAGAAGGGGCCTTTAAATGTTTATCCATGCAGTCCACAAAAACATGGTTATGGCATTAACCCAAAACACATCTGAATCCATCTGCTGCTGCACATGCAGGGGAAAGGATGGCAATGCTGATGGGGCTACATATATGTAGCTGGACAGCTGGTACTGTCAGTGGAAAATGGGAAGCAGGAATCTGGCAGTCTGATGCAGTAAAGAAAAAGAAAACCAAAAACCCAAGCACATATTAAACTATTAAATGTGGAAGAAACAAGTGATGTCTCAGTGGCTTTCTGAAAGCTCAGGACTCTGCTGTGTTGAAAGCCAGATCTACAAGGGATCTAGGCTTCTGCCATGCCATTGGCTTCAGGCCTGAGGAATTTGTGTCCTAGAGCATATGTCTCATTGATTTTTCAGTGGAATGAAGCCTGCATTGGCTTCAGTAGGATAATGAATGCCTAAGTACACTGAGGCTTTGAGCTAGGCTTGCAAGTTGTTCTTGCAGATGAATGAGACCCTTAAATTGATGAGGCACAGTCTGACTGCTTTTGTCTTTAGATGCCTTTAGATGTGTGATGCAGTTATCCTGAACTCTGAGAGTTAATGACCTGCTTAAAATCTAGCCTGTCTAACCACATTCTGCTGAATTGTGGCCTCTGATTATTTTTGTTTTGGTTTGGGTTTTTTTTTCTGTTTCTTTTCGGTTTGTGAGGTTTTTTGGTGTTTGGTTTTTGAAGGTGGGTGGGGTATTTTTTGTTTCCCAAAGTCCCTGAATCAGAAAATAGCTTGGATACTAGGAATTCTAGATGTATAGAAAGTCAATGGGACTGAAGTACCTTTATTCAGATTCCTCTGGACCTGAATTCCCATGGAAGGTGCAGCAGATGTGACTGGCCCAAGACTGCACAGCTAATTCATGGCAGTGGCCAGCAGAGAAAACAGAGTTCTCAGCTGGTGTAAGTGTGAGAAATTCAGTGAAACTTGTTTCTGGGCTACCTAATTCACACTGATTTCTAGCATACATCCCTGTTTTCCCAAGTCGAAAACTCTTGACCTCTTATGCAAGCCATAGAGGCTTCATTTATATAAAGAAAATAAACTAGTACTTGCCTAATAACCCTTGCCTAGTTGTGATATATAAATTCTTGAAGCATTTGATTATTTTTTAATAATTCACTGGTGTGACTTGTGGCCTTGTGCACACAAAAACTATGCACAAAAACAAAAATAAATATTTTTCAACAATTAGAATTGGCTAATCTTCTCAGTTTGTTGTGTGACTCTTCTTAGCTGTGGTGTAGTGAAGCCATAATTAAGATTACTGTGAAGAGCTGTATTTAATTACTGGTTAGTCAGTACCAAGCCTAAATAGCCTGCAGAAGGGGTTTTCTTTGTTGTTTTTGTTTCTGGTTTTATTTATCAGTGATCCAATTAAGATGAAATTCCCCAAAAGTCTGAATTAACATCTAAGGAAATCAATCACCTGTTTAAAAAGGAATATTTTCCTTAATGGGAATTTGAGTACCAGAGTTAATTTCTTTCACACAAAAATCCTCCCACCCATAAGCCCATCACTATCATTTCCTGTTACATTTTCTGAGTGCAGCAAGTTCTGTTGCCAATGTGTTTGCTGGTTTTGCTCTGCATCCAAGGATTCTTTCATTATTGATGTTATTTCTAAAAGAGTACCAGTCTTCTCCATTAAGACACTTCTGCTGAACTAAAAGCAACTGTAAAAACTAAAGTGTTAATAGGAGACAGATGTTTCCCAGTCATTATGACAGTCAGGTTAACATGTGAAATACCATGATAGGGTTTCCAGTGTAACCAGTGCACTGCTGTGCACGTGATGAACACCATGTCTGCAGTATGTTATCAGTATATTCCCCCCCTCCCTTACAGGGCAAATTACTGACAAAAGAACATTTGGTTTGCTTCCTCTAAGTAGTTGAAGAGATTTTAACACTGAACTCAGAGCAGGGAAAAGGCTAAGCGTAGTATCAGTGGAACTGTTATAAAAGACTGAAGAGCAAGATGTTGAGCAGTGCCAGCTGTCTGCTGTCCAAATAATGTGTTATCATAAGGACTGAACACAAGGTTAACCAGACACACCAGTCTGGCAAGAGTGATGCTGCCGTTTTGTGAATGGGGCGTTCTTTGATGTCCAGATAACTTTATTCAGGATGTGGAAATTTTCCTCCATTCTTTCTCCCCTCTCCTGGCAGTCTGGCTGTCGGCAGCTGGAGATGTGCACTCTGAGGAGAGGGCTGGGAGGGGCTGAGCTCCTGCAGTTAGTGCAGAAAGCAGAAATATCTTGCTGATGCTCCTGGCCTCTCAGGGTTTCTTCTGTTGTGTCCAAGTCAATGTGACCCACTGAGCAGAGGACCACAGTGGGACTGGGAGGGGTACAAGAAAGCAGAAATAACCAGGGTCACATGAAAGACTTCAGAGAAGTGGTGGGCTAGAAATGGTGAATGATTGAAAGAGAAGAAAGAAACTAATTTCTGTCAAGCTAGAGCAGGAGAGATGGTGGGTATGCTCTGCAGAGCCCTGTGGAGACCCAGGGTTCGAGGTTTCCTATTTCTGCTTAGCATTGAAGATATTGGGGGTAATATCTTAAACTCATCCCCAAAGATCATTTACAAGGATTTTTTGCAGGTGAAGTTCATATTTCCATAGAACTAAAGCTGTGCAAGTGCTTGAAGGAAGAAGAATTATGCATGGAAGTCTTGCCCCAGTTATTTGCTGTTCCCCAGCTTTGAACTTGGGATAATATTCCCCATCATGACTTGTTTTGTGAGCAGAAAAAAGTATATCTTAGAGGGGTTTTTTTCTCTTAGAGTTTCTAACTTCTTCACCTATCAGTGGCTATAGGTCAGTAGGAGAAGATAGTTCAGAACAGAATAAAAACGAAATGCTGATGTTTTAAGAAATGGTACAAAAGCCACTGGTGCCATGGAGCATCCTGGGAAAGCTTAAATTTGCTAATACTTCAAAAATGTCACTGTTAACTCAGTTTGTGCTCATTGAAATCTCTAGTGAGACTGCTATTGGCTTCAGTGTGACTGGTATTGTAAACCTCACCCTGTGTGCACGTGAGTGTGGCTGGTTGAAAGCTGTGCAAGAGCAGCTTCCTGAAGCACATAGAGTTTAAAGTGTAAGGTTGTTCCCTGCAGTAAAACTACATCTATTTTTAAAAATAATTCTGCAATTTGTAAGCAGGGATTACAGCACTAATTTAGCAACTATGTAACAATTTAAATTGGACCAGAAAAGAGAAACTATAATTTAAAGATTTTTTTTTTATGATACAAGTTTTCTTCTTTTTAAAGTAAAAAGCCCTTTATTCTTGTTTTTGTCAAGCAACGTAT